TATTTTGGATTCATCCTTTGTAAAGGCATTGGAAAATTTTATTTATACCATTTGCCTCCCTAAGTTGGCTGATGATTAATGTTGGGACTGCCACATCCCGCCATTCTAGTGCCTCTATTATCCTTGCCACACCTGAATCCTAGTTTAATTGTCAAATTAGCACGATGGGGAAAAAAAATGATTTTTCATTCGCCAATAAGCCTTTTGTACTGAAATTGTCATTGTACTTTTACCCGCATGCGTAGGTAATTATTTTCTGGAGCCTGACCGTGGGAAGAAAAAGGATTTTTCATTCGCCAATAAGCCTTTTGTAGTGAAATTGTCACACGAGCATACATAGGTGAGTCCCTTAGGCTTCGAACAAGTGGCCTATGACCAAAATTCTCAAATTTGAGATTTGTGTGAGTTGGACCTCAAGGGGAAAGAACATTTTTCCTTGATAACTAAAATATGACTTCTTTAGCCTTCTTGTCTAGTGCCCATTTCAATATAACTAAAATGAGTCTTTTACCTTGATAACTTGATGAATGAGTATGAGTTTGATAAAGTATGAAGAGGGATGTAAATGTCGACTTGGAAAAGCTTGACTTGGGTATTGCTTAGATGAGAAGGGGGAAAGTTGGGAGCAAACTTAGCCAAATGTTTTATTAAGAAGAGATGGGATTTGGGGATGCTTTGACAGACATAAGAACATAGTACAGGACGAAAGTGAGTGTGCCCATGGTTTTCGATTTAGGATAAAGTGGTGTGGACATGAAACCTGAATAAACCTTCCATCCACACCACCCACATATTCTTACTACCCACCTAAAACCATTATACCATGTAAGTGTACTCATGTCATAACTCTCTTGTGGCGCACTATAGACCGAACATATGTTCTCTCTCTTTCTCTCTTGCACTCTTTAAATACGCCAAATAGAGTGGTGAGAAACATGTGCTTTGTCAATCCACTGAGTTGTGTGCTTGATGTCAAGCACCAAGCATGAGTTGCATTAACTAGCATGTATACGTGCATTCTATGTGGTCGAATATGATATCAGTTGATAGTGGTATAAGATAAAACTATGTAGATATTGTTAATTTTGTTTTTATTCATGGAGCTCACCTTGCTCCCTTTCCATATAACTATGATCCAAAACCAAAACCATTAGGTCCGATAGAGGTAGAAAGTACACATCCATGCATTCTAAGACTTTTGTGTTGAACATGAGATTGTACACCAAACAGCTACACCATTTTTACGTGAACAAAATGGGTCTCCAAGAGGAGAAACCTGACTCTTGTAGAGATGGTATGAAGTATGATGGGAACCGCCAAATTGACCCTTGAATTTTGGGGCAAGGGGATTCCAACTACCATTTACATCCTCAATAGGACTTCCACTAAGGCGATGCCCTCTACTCTATATCAAATCTACACAGGACAGGCTCCTCACTTAGCCATCTCAAGGTTTGGGGGTGTTCAGCCATATTCACATACTTTTACAAAATAAGACCAAGCTTCAAACAAAACCATTAAGCGTGTTTTCATAGGCTGCCCACTTAATGAGAAAGGTTATTGGCTCAATGAATTATCCAGTGGGACTATCATTGAGTGTTGAAGAAGAATTTCTTGAAGGAAAGGTGAGTCACATGCAAGCCAACTTTTATGAGTAGACTAGTGACAAGACTGTGGACAGACAACCCGTACTGGTAGCCCTGTTTAGGCGAAGTGGAAGAGTAGGGAGACCACCTAAATTCTTTACCTACATAGGAAAGAGATTTTTGAAAGAATTTGTGAGGAACAGGACAATGAACCTGGTACTTTCCTAACAGCTCCTTTGATATTCATTTCTTCAATGATTTCCTGCTCCCCTCATGCCTAACAAAACTACCTGGCTATCTAGCATAGTCTCCTTCATTTGAGCATAATCTTTCCATGCTTTTCATGCGAATTCCTTGTTAGAATTTTCTGAGATTTTTCATCATAAATCAGTGAACATTTTGAGTTCTTAATGGATTCTAGATATTCATTTGATAAGCCCAAATTATGCCAAAATCATCACTCCCAACTCCTGCAAAACCACTTCATTGTTTGCATTCTTGGCCACTTCATAGTGTGCATTTTTTACCACCATGCATTCTCTCTCTTTCTCTCTCTCTGAAACACATCAGTCCCCTCTTGAGTTTTTTATAATATTTCAAGTTCATTAGTGTAGTAACTTTGATTTTCATTTGCTTCCCAAAATCTAGATTAGTTTGAGCCATTAAACCTTGGTCTAATAAGGGTAAGGACCTTAAACATTCTCTCAACCCAACCCAAGCCTGGGTAAAGGAGATGAGTTGTGTTAGGTAGGTAGCCGGATAAAATTTTTGCCACATCTTATTATGAATCCTAAACCTATAGTATAATTGGGATAAGGATTGGATGATGATGATGATGATGGTTTGAGCCATTAATCTTATGCTACAAAGTAAGCATATATATGGTGTGTATCCAAGTCCTAAGCCGTAAACCGGGCAAATTGAGCTTGTACTTAGCCTCCTGTGTTTATGAGACCCTTATGCACATATTTGGTTATGTTTATGTATTTTGGATATAGATTTTAGTTGGTCTTTTCAATATGTACGTGAATATATTAATTGAGTTAAACATATGTTGCTGGAAATTGTATGCAAGTGATATTTACCTGTGTTTAATCAATCTCCAACTTAAATTTTGAGTGGAACTACTTAAGGAACTATAGTGAGGTGTCGTGTCTTTATTTTAGCATATGTGATGGTGGGATTATGCTAACCAAAGGCGTTGTTGCTGTAAGTTTGTTTCTAAGGAATTGTTAGTCCATTTGGTGATTGTTAAATTTTAAAGTGTTCCCTTGAAGCAAGGCCTCTATAAACTAACAATGGTGATCATATGGCTCATCTTATTTAGGAAATAGCTCAAACAAACCCCTTAGTATTATGAGATAGAGAGAGCGAGAGTTTTGCAATTAAGATAGTTATGTTACCAACTCTTAAAAATATAAAGAAACAACTACATTACCTTCAAGAAATCAAATGCTATAGAATTACAAAATTATGCCATAAAGTTTTTCAAAAAGAATAGCATAGATAGAGAAATTTTTTCTCAGTTGCACGTCTTTTAATAAATTCAAGTGTTGCATGCTTCAATTTCAACATTACTCCAATCTTTTGTTTTTCTTTATCTTTAAAAAGACTCTAAACTAGGTTACGCTTTCAAATTCAATTCTTTTCATTTTTTATTATTTTCTACTTTCCATACAATGTGAAGTGTCCTTTCTTTTTTAATACTCTCTATTATTGAATTGCTGACAAGTATTTAAGCAAGTTTCACTTCAAAAATGGGTCCATTACAAAAATTGCATACCTACCTACGACCTCATTTTTGGCACCAATCAGTTGGATTGGACAATTCTGCTCAACTATAAATTGATGATTATATTTAAGAATGCTACGATAGATTATTTTCAAAAAGGAAATGTCGTGATAGTTAAGCTTCCATTAGAAAAAAGAAAAAAGAAAGAATAAGGGGGAGGGGAGACATTGCCATATGTAATTTTCAATAGCTCTCCTCTTCCAAAGATTGCTAGGGGCTCCAGGATATGTAGATGAGAGAGACACCACATTTCCAAGCGTATATGTTATTCCATCACCTATAAGACCTACAAAAATAGGTGCTCTTATTAATGTTTCTTAAAAATTAGGTCTAAAATCTATCACAAAAAAAGATTTTTAAAATGACTCTCATTTTAAATGGGGATTGTATATAATAAAATTGTTTACCTTTAGTACAAGGAAGTTACAATTACTTGTAGGAAAACGTTTATATAAGGTTGCAACTTTAAAATGAAGAATTACATATACACCTCTTAAAATCCACTAATTGATTATCTCAACATCGAGATGTATGGGTATGGACAAAAAAAAAAAAGATTTTGATTCCCTGAAATAGCTTGCAATACATTGTGTAGACTGTCCATTTTTAAGATTTTCATATATTTATAGATCTACTTGATTTTAACTATTTTTGGAGTTTTAAAATTTATAATTAGATACTAAATAGATTTTGAGATAATCTTAATAATTTTTTTACTAAAATTACATGTTATGATAAAATTTGGAAGTACGCTTAATTGGATTGTTTAAGATTGCAACCTTATAGAATGAAAGGCACTACAAGAAAGATATACCCCTTTTCAAATCGCCCCGGACGTTCAGAAAGGTTATCGAGATTTTCAATCGCTCTTTTTAGTGGTTTTGAATAGTACGGGAAGGGAGCGAGACCAAGCCGAGCCACTAGGAGAGTAAGCCCTTCCCACGTGTCAAGTTTCAGAAATGAATGCAGCCTCAACCAGAGAGATTAACCCGCGCCTTTGATTTTAGGCCGCCGGCGGCGAAGAACGCACTAACCCTTACTTATAACCATAAAATGTTAAATCTTATAGAAACCACACCCTTACTTATAATCATAAAATGTTAAATCTAATAGTATGGTTTAAGTCAAGTTCAAAAAACATTATTTTAAACTTTGGGCTTGGTCAATAGATTAAATGGACCCACTCAATTTTACATCCAAGGTAAATGGTCGACTTGTACATTTTTTATTCAAAAGGCATCCTGAAGTT